CAGGGAGGAGGAGGCACCAGCCCTCCTTCCCAACTTCCATCAGTGGAAAGTCACATATCTGCAGCAAGGGGTAGAGACTGTACCCCCCAGCAAGGCCCTGGCAAAGGGATGCAAGGTGGGGAGAGTGAGGTCAATGTTTCAACCTCCTGTTAGAAAGTAGCAGAGCCAGGAGGGGAGCCTGGGGTGCCTGGCCCCAGCCCCCGTGTTCTTCACAGCCACATCACACCGGCTTCCATGGCACATGGCAAGCACCAATGCACAGTACAGATGATGATGGGGGGCGGGGGTGCAGCAGAGCACAGAGAGCGTGCAAGTTTCATAATTAACTTGCATTTTGTCCTAAATGAGAAGGGAAGCCCCCTTGGGAAGGGGAGTGAGCAGGAATTGATAAGGTTAGAGTTCCATTTCTAAGAGATCAGATCACAGGAAGACCCGCTGAATGCCACTGTAGGTATCTGGGGCAGGGATGCTGGTGCTGGGCCAGGGTTGTAGTGATGCAGGTGGCAAACAGAGTGGGGTTCAGGGCCTGATCTGTAGTTTATTCCATGTGCTACTCCTTTTTGCCTTGGCTACTAGGAAGCTCAGGGCACACAGGCACTCTCCTTTGGAGTCCATGTGGTGTCTGTTGTGAGGACCACCTAACTCCATGATGCTGTGGCCCTGAGCAGACCCTGCTTCCTCCAGACCCCTCCCAATACTTCCTTCATCCTGCAGCTGTGTGTGTGTTCCTGGTGACTGCTGCCAATCCTTTGTGAAGGAGGTGAGATATAAATAAAGCAATGATAATGCTCCATCCTCATCTCCTCTCCTCATCCCTGGGGATCTTTGTCTTCATCTTCAGCTGAGCTTGGAGGCTTGGGGAGACCCAGCCCATCCTTCCTTGTGTGCCAGGAATGCACAGAACAGCTGGCTCTCCCAAGGCCACGTGGACTTATAGTCCTGCTCCCATCTGTAGGCATCTGTAGGCAGATGAAGGAAAGGAGAGGATGAAAACATGAATGCATTGTCTCTGAGAAGAGAAGGACCCCTCTACATCCCTCTGCCTCCTGTGGCCTTGGGGAGAGGGTGGCTGGGAGGATCTGTGGTTGATCAGTGTTCTGCAGTGGCCCTGGTTCCACACATTTCCTGGGCTCCCACTGGGTACCAGGCACTATGTGCTGGGGTCACCCCCAAAACACAGTGGAGGATGCCATTGCTATAGCTTCCTTAATGGTATGCAGAGCCAGAGGGAGGAGTCCTCAAACAAGACATTCCTGGGCTTGTCTTTCCCCACAGGGCTGCTTTGTGGAGCAACTGTGGACACAGCACCTAGCACGGTTAACACTTGTATTAGTCCATTTTCACAGTGCTATAAAGAGGTGTCCCTAATAAAACAAAAAAGAACTGCCCAAGACTTAATAATTTATAAAGGAAGGACAGTTCAGCATAGTTGGTGAAGCCTCAGGAAACTTACAATCATGGTGGAAGGAGAAGGTGAAGCAAGGCAGCAGGAAGAAGTCTCAAGAGAAGGAAGATGAGCCTGTTACTGAATCATCAGGTCTCATGAGAACCCACTCAATATATGAGGACAGCATGGGGGAACCAACCCCCGATCCAGTCACCTCCACCTGGTCTTTCCCTTGACATATGTGGATTATGGGGATTATAATTCAGAATGAGATTTGGGTGGGGACACAAAGCCTAACCATATCAGCACTCTATTAGTAACACCTGGAGAGAATGGCCTCATGTCCTGACCCACCTGGGGTGGCCCTGGTTTATCCTCTGGTCTTGGTGTTCCATCCCTCCGTGTTCTGCTTTTGGTCCCCTTGATGCATCTTAGGAAGGTGAGAGGGGTCTCTGGAGTCAGGGTGCTCAAGGTCCTGTCCTGCCATGGCATTTCCCAGCTTTGTGACCAACAACAAAATGGTTCAGGGCTCTGATTCTCAGTTTGTTCACCTGTAAAATGGAAATAAAACTGAATGACCTCTAGCTCATAGATTTATTGTGAAGGTAAAATAAGGCAATGTCTTCGGATAGTTCCTGTCCCCGCACAAGCAGTGACCAGCATTGACTCCATCATCATTATTCCATTTATATGGTAGAAATTCCTACAATAGAATGTTCACCAAACGTTGCCGGCACTGGCATGGTGTGTTAATCAGTGACTGCAAAGTCTAGACACGTGGGTATTATTATTTTACGTGGATGATCACATGAACTATGAATAAACTGTGTATTGTGGATGTTTATCTTTGTTTCCAGATTGTTTTGTATTTTAACTTTTTTAGAGACAGGGTCTCCCTCTGTAGCCTGGGCTGGAGTGCAGTTGCAAATCATAGCTCACTGCAGTCTTGACCTCCTAGGCTCAAGTGATCCTCCTGTCTCAGACTCCCAAGTAACTACAGGCAAGTGTCACCATGACTAATTTTCAAAATTTGTTTTTGTAGTGGTGGTGTCTCTCTGTGTTGCCCAGGCTGGTCTCGAACTCTTGGGATCAAGTGATCCTCTATCCTCGGCCTCCCAAAACATTAAGATTACAAGCAAGAGCCGCTGCACCCGGCCTTTCCAGATGTATGGCCACATTGAGTCCTCCCCTCAACCTTACCAATCAGGGATGATTATCATAGTGTATTTTTTTAAGATGTGGAAATCAGGGCTCCAAGGTGCCGAGTGGCTTACCCAAAGGCCCTGAGCTAGAGACAGGTGCAGCCCTTTGGAAGCCAGAACTTGTGGAAGTTCTAGAGGCTGTCAGACAGGCCGCCTGTCACTGGGGTCACAGAGGTCACTGCCATGTGGGACATTGGGCCCTCAGGTGCTGCCACACATGGCTCTTCTCCAGGCTGAGCACTGCAGAGCCCAGATTCAGAGCAGGCTATCCTGGGCCTCCATGGGGCAGCTGGTTGCATGCATGGGGTGCCTTAGGGGGGAAAGGTGGGGCGTAACCCCTTCCCTGGATCTGAGGGGGCCTGGTCCATCATAACCCCCTGCCCCTTGGATGCTGGTGATACCCCTTCCCCTCCCAACACTGGTGGCCTCCCTCTCTGTCCTCTCTGACAATGGTAACCTCTTTCCTCAGGTGAGCCCTCCTGTTAGCCACTGCCCCCAGCCCTTCTCCCAGCATGTTGATGCTTCCTGGGGCTCTCAGGTCTGCATAAGCTCAGGGCTCCCAGCCCCTTCCACAGGCAGCAGCAAGGCAAATTCACCTGCTGGCTGTGGAACTGACCATGTGCTGACCGTGGTGGCTGAGCAGGTGCGGGTGTGTATGTCCAAAGGGTGAGGGGTCGTGGCGGAGGTCTGGGCTCCTGTGCCAGCAGCTGTGCTGGGGAGCACCTCGAGTCTGCGACCTTCCACCCCAGCGATACTGGGAGGCTCAATTGGAGCCTGCTTGGGACTCAGGTCCTTGTTGCTTCCAGAAGAAAAGTCCCTTCACTGTCCCAGGAGGCATTTGGGGCAATGTGGTCATTTATTCTCAGTCCTGCCTAGGCGACAGCCTGAACTCTGGTCTATGCTGTGACCACAGGATGGAGGTGACACTGGCTTACTTTGTGAGCTTCTCTAACTTTACCATTTTGTTAGTTGCATTTTGTTTTCATTCTAACTAATCTTTCTTACAAGGTAACACACAGCGTGTGCTACAGAAACAGCTTATGAAACACACTCCCTCTTTCCCCCGCGTGCCAGCAGCCAGGGCTCCCCACTTCTTTTTTTTTTTTTTTTTTCTTTTTTTGAGACAGAGTCTTGCCCTATCACCCAGACTGGAGTACAATGGCGCGATCTCGGCTCACTGCAAATTCTGCCTCCAGGTTCAAACAATTCTCCTGTCTCAGCCTCCTGACTAGCTGGGATTTCAGGTGCCCGCCACCACACCCAGCTAATTTTTGTATCTTTAGTAGAGACGGGGTTTCACCCTGTTGGTCAGGCTGGTCTCAAACTCCTGACTTCATGATCCGCCCACCTCGGCCCCCCAAAGTGTTGGGATTACAGGCGTGAGCCACGGTGCCCAGCCCAAGCATTCTCTATTTCTTTGGGGAGTCCACAGACATATTCTTTGCATACACCACTGTGCGCCTGTGTACTATCCCTGTTCACACACTGGTGGCATGTGCCGTGTGAATTTGTGCACTGGGGTTTTCTTTGGCCTGTGTTTCAGATCAGTTTCCTGTTCGTGCATGGAGATCACTTTCTTTCTTTCCACGTCTGCACACAGGCCATTGACAGGATAGACGATGACTTACCTAGTCCCCTGTGGACAGGCATGTAGGTTGCTACCAGTCTCTGCTGCAACAAACAGCACTGCCATGAGCTTCCTGGGACATTCACCTTCACACATCCCAGAGTCTACAAACATGGCCATTTCATGGACAAGGAAGGGGTCCTAGGAGTGTTTCTTCCTTCTGTCTGCTCACAGACTTGCTCTACAGCTGTTCACTCAGAATTCTCACCGGCCTGGCTCTGTGCTGGGATCCAAGGCTGCCCCAGGCCTGGCCTCTGCCCCAGGAGAGGAGACAGCCTGGTGGGAGAGCAGGCAGGCAGAAGTCTTTGAGGCTCCTTGGTGCCTGCATAGGGTAGCTTCATGGGCATAACACAAGGGAGTGACCCTGTCTGGGACAAGAGGAAGGTAATGACTCTGGAGGAAGTCATATTCAGTGGAGGAGCTGAAGTTTATGAGGCAGAGAAGCGGGAGGGAGGACAGCATGGGTGGAGGGCAGAGCATGAGCTGGCAGCATTTCATCCTGGAATTAGGGACATCTTCACGTTACATGACAAAAGGTGAGGGCTTCTGGTGGCCCCGAGTGGGTCGCAGGAGGGAGGGTCTCACAGAGGGAAATTCAGCGCACGCTGCTGAGCTGCCGCTACTGTGGGTGCCCCCTGGCCGGTACAAGTCCCAGGCTCTCTGTGGTTCTGACAACCCTCCTGGAGTCTAGGCTTTAGGGGATCACTGGTGACCCCTCAGGGGGAGAGGGGTGGTCGCCTTCACCCCCAGGAGTCATACAGGTTTGGTGGTTTTCATATTCCAGATGAGATGGACCAAACGCCTCCGGCGCGTCCTGAATATCTGGTCTCAGGGATTCGAACTCCCCCTGTGAGGAGGAACAGCAAACTGGCCACCCTGGGCAGGATCTTCAAACCCTGGAAATGGAGGAAAAAGAAAAACGAAAAACTGAAGCAGACCACGTCAGGTAAGGGCCTGGTGACAGGTGTGGGCAGGCTCTGGCTGGGACCAGCGTCCTTGTCATGGTGCTGTGGCCCCTGCTGATCTGTGACTTCCCGGCCCCTGCAGGGGAGGGGCAGACTGTGCTCCCTGGCCTGTGATGGCCTGGAGCCACACAAGTTCCCCCGCTGGCTCCACCTGGCTGCCCCGAGGCCCTGTGGTGGGGTTGGCACCAGGCACCCCATGGGGGACGCTCTGCCCAGACCCTAAGGTGCCCACAGGTCCCCTGGGACCTAACAAGTCCCTGTTCAAAATGAGGCCTCTGACTCATTTAGGGCTGGCTGGGCCGAGACACTGGCCTTGGAGCAAGCTCTTGCTCTCTGGCTTCACTTGGGCGGCGAGCCCCCAGCCACGCCACACCCACAGGGCCTCACCTCCCACACATGCAATCTCATTTGGAGGATGCTGGGGCCTGGGTCCTGCCCCCACAGATTTGAGTTTAGTTGGCCAAGAGCCCCTGGGTGACTCAGGGTCGAGGCCCCCAGTTTGGCCTTGACACCTCTGGGCCTCACTTCTTCCTGAAAGACAGAGGCTGCTCCCTGGCTCCTAAGCTCTCTTAGCATGCCTGTCCCTACACCCTCCCACCAAAGCGCCCAGAAGGTTCCACTCACCTCCTGCACCCTCACGCCCTGTCAGCCCTGGCTCTGTGGGAAGCGGGGTTGTGATGGCTGGTCCTGTTGCCTCTGCCTCCCTGGAATCCACCCTGGGAACTGCAGCTACGAGGCTGAACCACGGATAGGGTGGACCCAGGAAGTGATGATGGGACAAGCAGGCACATGGCGGCAGGGCACGGCCCTCAGCACTTGGCACGAAGGAGCCAATTCAACCCTCAGAACCTCCTGCTAGGCCAGCGCGCTCCCAGGATACTGCCCCATCATAAGGATGGAGAACAGGCCCAGAGAGCAGAAGTCACTCATCCAGGGTCACACAGCCAGCAGGTGGCAGGGCTGGGGCTTGAATTCTGGCAGCCCGGTGTGCTGGCTCCTCAGCCTGGGCTCTGTGGATGGCAGTGTTCTGAGAAGCAGAGCCCGAGGAGGTGGCATCTCCATCCTAGGACCCTGCCTCTGAGCCAGACCCTGTGAGCAACCCCTAAAAGCAGTGAGTGAGGGAGCTGCTGATGTGGCATCAGTGCTGGGCTTCGGGAACCAGGCCTGGCGAGGGCCTGTCTCAGGCTGTTGCCTCGGGTGGTCCCTGGGGCCCCATTTCCAGCTCTAAAGAGGCACAAGCTCTGGGGCTTTGAGAACAGGGGAGGTGAAGGCCAGGCGTTACAGCGCCCAGGCCCACGGCAGGGGAGGCAGCCAGCACCGACAGCAGTCCCCCCAGTCATGCTTTTGTGGGTGTTTCACAAAATTATTATTTCGACCACCCAAGAAGTTGATAGATAAAATTCTTGTCAAAATGAAAACAGAACAAGCATCATCATTCAGCAAATCTTGAGCACCTCCTGTGTGCCTGGTACCAACAGCAGGGGCCCAGGCCCGGCTCACCTAGAGCTTTCCGCAGAGTAGGGAGTCGAGTGACAAACTGTGCAAGCCACCAATGAACCAGCACGCCGGTCGTGATGGACTCCCTCGCTGCATGTGAAGCTCAGCTAGGCGGGCCGCTTCCATTGGCTCCCTGCGTCTGGCGGGGCCCCTCACACACGCACAGCACCGAGGGGCTCTTTGTGCTCCAGGCTGGATGACAGGACCACTGAGCAGGCCCTGGGGTAGAAATGAGCAGGGCGGGTACTGCTTTGGACCCAGTGGTCTGAGAAGACCCAGGTGAGGAGGCTGCATTGAGCTGAGATGTAATTGGCTCATTGGGAAAGGCAGGGAAAAGCATCGTCACGGCAGTGGGAACAGCCCTTGCAAAGTGCCAAGCTGGAGAAGGCACATCTGTGCAGCAGTGAAAGGCCAGGGGGTGGGGAGACTGGAGCAGAGTGACCTCTGTGACCTCGGGTGGGTCTCTGACATTCCCCAGGCCCAGTGCCCACCCACCCCACCGCCCCCCCTCCCCCCACAACGATCCCCCTCCTCTCCCTACCGCTGTGGGACTGGAAGGCTGAGGTTTGTCTCCTGAGGATTCCAGGCTCTTTGGCCTACTCCATGATGTGCTGTGTGAGTTCACCATCAAGATGCTTTGGGGCCCCTGCATGAGCTCTGGGGGTCTCGGGGTGATTACCAGCAGTACCCCCACCAGCAGGACCATCCTTCAGGCGTTTGGAAATTTGAGGAACAGTGCTGCGTTTTGTTTACTTATTCCAAACCACTCTTTTCTCTTAAAGCGGGGGTGTTGGTTGTTTTGGCTTGTCAAATTCCTGATTTCACGGGCATCACTGGTTAGGACGAGCTGAAGTCAATGCAAAGATGATTGAAAGAGAAAGATGTAGTGAACAGCGGTTTTGGCAGGCGAGGCTGGGGGAACCCACCGAAGCTGGCTCTCAGGGGCTGCAGGGTGGGAGCGGCAGCTTAGTCCGTGCCTGCAGCAGCAGGCGGCTCAGAGCCACTCAGCCACTCACACGCTGCACCACCTTTACAAGCTGCACCGCCAGATGCCCCCATCCCTGAGATGAGGAGGCTAGACCCTTGCAGCTGCCAATTTGGGTCATGGGGAAGTCCTCAAGTCAGTGCAGGCAAAGACCTGCCATGTCTGGGGCTGGCTACCATGGGCACCGCCTGCTGCTGGCCTGGGGATGGACGAGGTCCACTCAGTGCTCAAGGCCTCCACCCCTGATCTTCCAGCTGTTTTGTGAGTCTGGCTGTAGCCTCTTTGCTGACACTCCCGAGGTCAGCATTCACTTTGTCAATTTTATCCACAATTCTGGCACCTGGAAATTGGCTTGGAAATTGGGACCACGGAAAGGAAATTCTGTTCTCTCTACCCCAAAATGCCCCCACCCTGCTGTGTTTAGGTTTCTCTATTTGTCCTTTGGCTTTAGGGTAAATATCCTTGGGGAAGCCACCCTGGAGGTCAAGGAGGGGATGGGCTTCCCCAGACAACTGCCCTCTCCCACCAGTCCCCCACCCTGGGCCTGACTTATCCCTCTTCACCCACTTTCTAGACACTTGCCATCTGTCCTCCTGCAAGTGCTGGCCTCAGGCAGAGACTGTGCCTGTTTTGCTCACGGCAGAATCTCCTGTGCCTAACATTGTGCCTGGCACGCAGTAGGTGCTCAGTAAACATGTAAGGGGTTTCCACAGATTGAACACCTGGTCACCATGGCCTGTCCCCGCAATGGAGCCCATGCCTCTGACCACGAGGCTGTGTGGGTTCTGCCCTCTGTGACTCCCCGGCACCCAGCTCAGCACTTGGTACATAGCAGGTCCTTGGGAAATACTTCTGAATAAGTGGAATCATTCCATTGCCAGTGCCTGTTTGCCACCTGCCTCCCCTACTGGACGTTAAGCTCAGCCAGGTGGCTGACTCTGTCCGTCCCCTGGCACCTGGCAGGGCCCCTTGCATACACACAACACTGATGGGCTCTTTGTGACCCAGGTTTAATGGCAGGCACTCTGCATCTTTCAAAGAAAGGGTTGAAGTGGTTACGTAGTCTTACATTTGGAAATTGGGGCTCACCCATAGGCAAATAGTTTTCCTGACAGTTAGAAGGAAAATGATGATATAGAGCAGCCCAAGGCCTGCCTGGGAGTGGGAGAGAATGGGAGAAGGTGGGGTGAGTCACCCACGTTTTTTGCTTCGGGTAGGGGAGGCAGGAAGGGCTATTCCGAGGAGGAATTGACAAAGATTTGGCAAATTAGGGTTGGTGGAAGGGGATGGGGGCTGGCCTCCCCACTTCTTGTCCATGTGGTAGATTCTTCCGAAGCTTTTCACCTGGGTTTATTGGAAGAAGCTCTAGTGGGACAGCCGCACAGAAGGATCACATCCATTAGTGGATATTAACAGTGGCCAGGAGGCACTTAGCAAAAGCTAACAGGAATCACAGAAAAGGAGTCCAGGGTGTTGCGGGCAAAGGAGGGGGTGCTTTCCTTGATTGGTAAGTTAAGGAGCATTTGATGAAGGGTAGGAATGGATGGTGGGAGCTAGCTTAGAGAGGGACGTTCTGTGTGGAGGGGCTTTCCAGATAACTCACATAAATGATCGCTGTAGAGTATCTAGTATGTGCACTACTATTGCTTTTTGGCTGTGGTTTATGTGCATTGCTGAGCAGAGTGCTTGGTAAGAAAGTTGGGCCTTGCCAGTGGACCAGGCCCCTAACCCCAAGGTGCCTGCTAGCTCACTGTTTTTGGTTGGTAAACTTAAGCCTGGCATTGGCTATGGCTTGGACAGGGCCCGGTGATACCTTCGCCCAAGACTTATCTGTGTGTTTGTGTGTTGGGCAGCGCTGGAGAAGAAGATGGCCGGCAGGCAAGGCCGAGAGGAGCTCATCAAGAAGGGGCTGCTGGAGATGATGGAGCAGGGTAAGTGGGACCCCTCCCTGCTGGAGATGATGGAGCAGGGTAAGTGAGACCAGTCCCTGGTTCATAGGGACACAGTTCTGGGAATGCAGAATGGAAAGTCTCATGTGAACCCAGGAAGCCTGTGAGAGACAGAGTAGAATCAGAAGAGGGCCGTGTTCAGATGAAGCCTGCAAGGTTGGAGCAGTGGCCCACGTCAGGAGCCATTCCACTGGTCCAGCCCCCAGGGGCGTGGGAAACCCCATCGCTGAGCTGAAGGGCTCCCTGTCATGGGTAGGACTCCTCCCCAGGGAATGTCTAACTGAGCTGGATGTACACAGCAATGTTTTTTTCAGCATTAACTTTTTTTTACATATTCACATTTCAGTCCTCCATTTGGGGAAATTATTTTTAATTCCACTGTCATCTACTCCCACTACCACCATGTATGAAGCACTCAGGACATGCTGGGGCTAGGTGGGGCATTCTGCACACCCTGTCTCACTGGTCTCCCCAGCATCCCTGTGGAAGGGTGCAGCGGTTTTACCATTTGCAGATGAGAAGTGTGAGGGTCTTGGTGGTGACTGCCCCAAGTCTTTGGAGCCTGAGAGCAGAGACGCAGAACCATCCTGGTCTCTTGGTCTCTGGTCTGGAGAGTTTAATCTCAGTGGTGTCTACACAGTCACCTTTGTTTCAGTCTTTCAGAAAGGCCAGTTGTTATCACTCATGCAATTAACTCAACAGAGTTCTTGAATTCCCAAGTCTTTCTCTTTGTGATGGATGCCTGCAGGTGTGAGGCCCGGGACTTGGATGCTGACACCAGCTCTTGGTGCTTTCCGGTTCTCTGAGAGGCTAAATCTTGGTTAGGAGGTTTCACAAAACCTCGCTGCCTCTGGAAGACTCTCTGGAGCTGGACCAAGCGCTTGGCTCCTGATTTAAGGAATCTGGCCATGCACAGCCAATTTCCTGAGGCTTGCATGAATATATTGAATTCCTCTCTCCCCGCTTCAGCCTTAAAATATTACTAGTGTTTTTGTAATTTGGCCCAAATATCAGGAATTAGGAAGGAAGCTCATGAAATAAACGAATCCAGATTTTATGCAGCAGGCCTGTCAGTGCACAAACCTAATTGTGGGCCCAGGCCTCTGTCATCATTTCCCTTCTTTAGATTCAAAGAGTGAAGTATTTTGATGATGCTATTTTTAGGGTAAATCTACATGGGAAATTGCTTAATACTGATCATAAAACCTAAGTACGAGGAAATCTCGGTGTCAAGTCCCGTGCCGTTCAGATGTTTAACGCTCTGTTGCGACACTCAGATTTGCAGAATACTGTTGCCGGGCTGGAAATCTGAAGGATTTTAATCTGGACGGGAAAAAAAAGTGCCCAACTCTGGCGTTTTGAACATGTTGCCAACAAGCCTGACTTTGGATCTTAGGGAAGGAGAAAGGGAAATGAAAACAGTGCTAAGGCCTTTTCTCATCTATTCTAAAAAAAGAAAATTACTTTTGTTGCGTAAAGAATAAGTATCTAGATTTGATTCCTCTCAAAAACGAAGCTATCATTTGAATAATTCAAGGGGAAAACTTCTAGGAGAGTTGGCTTTCTTTTCACTCTGAATTTTTGCAGATGGTTTTGTCTGATGAACTCAGAACAGAGGCTGGAGATGCATGCTTGGCCGTGGCCAGGCTGACGGCGTGGCTGTCACCCGGCTGTCGTGGGAGCCTGCTCTCTGGTTTTCCCAAGTCTGAGGGCAACATCACACACCTGCAGTCTCACAGAATCACTTCAGATCAGGGTCAGCAAACCTTTTCTGGAGACGGTCAGATAGTGCCCCGGAAGGGGCCATGCAGTCTCTGTTGCAACTACTCATCTCTGCTCTTGCAGCACAAAGGCACCCCGAGACAAAACATGCATGAGAGGGTGTGGCTGTGTCCCAAGAGAACTTTATTTATGGCCACTGGCCTTTGAATTTCATATAATTTTTATGTGCCACAAACTATTATTTTTCTTCTGATTTTGTTCTTTCGTCAGCCGTTTAACGATGCCACATCCAGGTGGTGGTCTGGATCGGCCCACACTGTGGTTTGCTCATTTCTACCTTCCATGCTCTCCCGCTAAATGATTATGGACCAGGAACTAGAGTGGCGTGAAACAGTCTCTTTCCTTGAAAGGGAAAATGCACTCCCAAACTGATGCCACGACCTTTTATTGTGGGCCCACTATGTTCCAGGGTCTGTGCTAGCTGCTGATCATACAGGTGAGCAAAATACTCTTCTGAATGCACACCCAGTGAGGCCATTAGATAACCCCACACAGAGCCAGCGGCTCACAACCTAGATGAGCGTGGTGAAGAACATGAGACAGGACCTGACCTGGCCCTCGGGGGCCGGGAGATGTTTGAGTCGGGTCTAAAGGTGGGCAGGAGGCCCCTCGCTGGTTCTCAGTTTGTTGCATGTTAGGATCACCTAGAGAGCTTTAAAAACCCTCGACCGCTCAGGCAGCAGTTAAATTAGACTCGCTGGGCGTGGAACCCAGGCGGCAGCGCCTCCTCATTCTCCACAGCTGATTCCAACTTTGATGCCAGAAGGTTGAAAAGCCAAGAGACCGAGGGAGGCGGGTAGTGGCTTCTAGCCCACGGGAGCAGCAGGTGCTCGCAGTGGAAGAAACCTTGAGATGGCGTTGGGCTGGAGGAGAGGAGGAAGGAGGAGGAAGCAGGAGAGGGAGAGGGGTTTGGGTCAAGAGGCCTCTCGTCTTCCTGCCCGCACACCGGCTGGGAGGCAGCAGCAGGACCACGCCGCGGCAGGAGCCTGGGGCCGCCACGGGGCGAGTGAGTGGGGTGTGCGAGGAGCCCGAGTGTCTGCAGGGAACCGTCAGGGACGGGGCAGCAGGGGCTGCTCTGGGAGGGGACTTGCTGTTGACAGCCGCCTCTTCTGTGCCGCTTGAGTCCTTTCCTGCGTGCCACCTGCAATCAACCCGTAATCAGCGTGGTAATGACAGGGTGCGCGCTGAGGCTGGCCGCAGGCTCGGTCCTTCCCTGCGCCGCGGTTTCCAGCCTTCACCGGCGTCAGAAATGCCTTTTTCACTGGGTCGACCTGAGGTCAGGCCCCGTCTGTCCCGAATCGTCCTCTTCCAGGGTGACTGGGACCGTTGGCGGTGGGTGTGCAGCTCAGGGGAGGACCCGGAGTGAGGGCCGCTGCTCCAGGGTAGGCACGCCGCGCGGCCGCCCCTGCCGTGGGCGCGAGGGCGCGAGGGCTCTCCGGGGTGACGGGCGGCGGTGCCTTCCTGGCTTTGGGGTGAAGGAACCCGCCGGCCCAGCCGCTGCCTTCCGCGCTGGCGGGGACGAATCTGCAGCCGCGGGCGCCCTCCTGTGGCCCGCCAGGCTCGGGAGCCTCCCCGCAGGGTGGCGGGGACTTCCCGCGGGACAGGCCCTGTGACGCTGCGGGAGGGGACTGCAGGGACCCCGGAGCCCCCCGCAAACTCACATTTGAACTTCCCTGGCCAGGACAAACACCAGGAGTGCCCTCGGCCCTGCACGCACGCCCGTGCATACACGCCAGACACCCTGGAGCTTGCCCGGACGCAGGTGGGCAGCCTGGTGGAGTGAGCTGGGCTCCGGGCAGGGCCTGCAGAAGAGAGCCCACCAGCACCCTGGGCGGTGAGGCAGCATCCAGGGCACGAGTTTGCTTCCCCACGGCGTGTTATTTTATGATCGATGGTCCGTTTTATGAACCACTCTGACCCCATCCGCTCCCGTTCCTGTGACTTTAATCATCAGCTAGGACCTAGGAGGGACCCTGCTGGTGGCATTATTACGTTATTAGATGTGTGCAGTGGGGCCACCTGTGTCCTGGGTGAGGGGAGAGCGACCCCTCTGCTGACTTCACTGTATCTTCCACCCTCCTCTGAGATGTCAGTGACCAAGCAAGGCCAGACCCAATCTGGCAGGAAGGACCCCCTTCCCCAGCCCCCTCGCCCTGTTCCCCAGCCTAAGTTTCTCTGTGCCAGACACTGTTTATGTTCTGAATGACTTTCCTCCATCTCCCTGTATGCGTTGACTTGGCATTTTCTTAAATAATTTAAGGAATTTCATACCCCCTCACTGGGTATAAAAGAAGAGAGTTTGTTACCCTGTGCTGTGTTCAGTGACCTGAGATTGACTAGGCATTCTTTCCTCAGGGAATTAACGACAAGTCAAGCCTGTCTGGTTTCCATGTGGTAGGAATGCTGAGGGACACGTGTCTGCACGTGTGCACATATGTCCACCTGCGTATGCTTGCACAGTGCGCATACGTGTGCCGTGACTGTACGCGTGTGTGCCTGTGTGTGTGTCTAGGAGTGCGTGTGCATATCTGTGGCACGTTCCCCCTCACTGTGGCTGCTCAGGCGCACTGCTCTGCCTTCCCCCCCTTGCACCCTCAGAAGGAGCGTGGCCGGGGGGAGGCTGACCTTCCAGCCAGAGGACGGGGGCCTGGGCTCCCACCGCTCGCTCCCCGCACCAGTGTTTCTTAGCAACAGCCCTGCCACCAGGGCTATTTTGGGAGCTGTAACTTTTTATTGAACATGATTATGAGCTAGAGCTCTGGGCACAGCCCAGAAAAGTCCTGCAAGGGCTGCTGAGCCGCAAAAGCAGGGAAGGCTGTAGGACTGCAGAGGGCCTGGTGCTTTTTCTGAGTCTGGAGACCTCTGGCCCTTCCAGGTTTGGTGCCCTGATCTTATGGTGGTGGTTATGATGATTTTGTTGATAATGGTGATGATGGAGGTTTCCTTATTAACAGCAGTGGCAGTCCTGGCAGCAAAAGTTCTGTGCGTTCTAAGGTTTTGTGTCCACAACTGCAAGTGGCAGGTGGCAGCCTTGCCTGTCACATGGGGTGGGTGTGAAGTCAAGCTGGCAGAGCCCCGTGCTCCCCCGCACCGGCTCTCACGTTCCCTGTGTTGCCGGGGCCGGTGAGCTGTGCTGTCACCGGTGCATGTTGAGTGCGAGTAAGCCAGTCACGAGCAGGGCTGATTGCAGTTTTGAGCTTTGTGGCATCTAATTTTGTCTAGTTGGTGCGCTCTCTTGGCTTGTATCTGGGTTGGTGGGCTCTTACAGCTCAGGGTCGAATGTGGTTCAGGACCTGTTTTTATGTGGCCTTTCAGCTAAGAGTGTTTTTTAAATGGAAAGACTTTTATATAAATAAAAAAAGAATCGAGGAAGAGTTGCAGCACGGGCGACATGGCACGTGGCCCACAAAGTCCAGCATATTCACCATCTGCCCCTGTGGGAAGAGGCTGCCAGGCTCGCCTGGACCTCTGGGCAGCTGACACGGCTGTGTGGATGAGATCGTCCAGCCCCAAATCTCCGGACTTCTGGCGCAGCTGACCTTTTCATTTACCCAGAGGAGCCACGTGCAGCAGAGGGAATATGACCAGCAGCTATGATGAGGTCGAATCTCTCCAGGGTCCCAGGCAGGAAATGGGTCTGGCATGAGTCCTGGTTGTGGTGGGGACTCCGTGGAGGGAGAAACGGTTCTGTGCTGAGCCTGCTGTTAGCAGATGGGCCCAAAGGTGCAGGCCAAGGGGCTAGGTCACCCTTGTCACCCTCCTCTCATCATTAGAAACCATCACCAACAAGAACAATGACAGAAAGCATGGGTACTCCATGCCAGACGCATTCTATACCTTAGCTTTGTTCATTCTCAGTGTTGCCATGAAGCAAGCAGAAATATTATCCCCATTTTATAGATAAGGAGACTGAGATCCAGAGGAATTTGCTGTTTGCGCACCAAAAACAGCATTTGCTTGCTGTTTGTCCAAACAGGACAGTTTCAGGAGTGAAAGGGACACTGTTGAGGACCCGGACGGCAGGTGGGAATCAGGACTGACAAGGGCCTCTGGACCCTGGCCCTGCGGTAAATGTTCCCTCCTCCTTCCAGTGCCAGGATGGGAGGTGTGTGGGAGGAGGCCGGCTAGCGTCCCCACACGGCCACCTCATGGCTGTGTCAACGTGTGCAGGTCATACTGCCCTTTGCACTGGGCCTCCAGGAGCCACTATAGGGATTGAGGGGAGTCCTGCAGGGCCAGGTGAAGGCTTCGGGTCTGGGTTTAACATACATCTCGGTGACGCGACTGTGCCTGGCTGGCCCAGGGCCCTGACATCCTGCCGTTGGGTAACTGGGCCATTTCTTTTGCATTCTGAGTGCTGAGCCCTTCACCAATAAGGTGTGACCCCAGGGATAACAGGTCAAGGACGAGTCCCTCGGAGGCTGCAGCAGGCAAGCGTCAAGAGAGGGGAAGCTCCGGGCCTTTCCTTACACCCTGCAGTGCCTGCTCTTCTGGGAAGGTGCCTGTCAGACCTGGGGACTCCCGGCCCTGTGTCCTCTCCATCCATGGGTGTGCCCTCATTCCTGGGCTCATGTGCTGTGTGTGATCTTCTGCATAGCCTCAGGCAAGGACTGTATCTTGTTGCCAGGGCCTGTCACAGTGCCAGACGTGTTGTGGGTGACCCATACATGCCTCTTTAATGGCTGGCCGAGGGTCGAACGGTGGGTGCAGAGCGAATTGCTTCTCTGCGGCCACAGCAACCCCTGCGTCTGGGTAGCCTACACAATCACCATTTGTCGTCCTCTGTCTGGGTTGGCCTATGATCTGCCCCATGTGTCTGCTGACTCCGGCCAGCCACCGGGCATGTCCTCAGGGCAAGGGTCCAGCGACACAGGAGGGACAAGCAGGACCATGCAGGCACTTCTCATGCCATTGCTGATCATACCTGCTGTGTCCCATCGACCAAAGCAAGACACAAGGCAGCGCCCGGAGCAGAGTGGGGCTACCACAAAGGTGCATGACAGTGGGTGTGGACGTGGCTTGGGGACGCTGCGCAGTCTCCTACAGATGTCACAGGAAGAGAGGGCACACGGAGTGGAGTGTCAGAGCAGAAACCAGGCTAGGTGTGCTGAGGTGCCCAGGGCTCCCCTGGGGAAAGTCTGGACTTGGAGAAGGACTCCTGGGGTGTGTAGTTGGGGGAGAGGGTTGGGGAACTGCCCAGAGCCTGAAATAAATACTTCTCAGAAAGACTCTTGGGATGATGGAAGGGATGAAAGAAGGGAGGTGCAGGCCTGGTTGACAGCTGCATTTCCTTGCAGATGCTGAAAGCAAAACGTGCAACCCTGATGGAGGACCCCGATCCGTGCAGAGTGAACCACCTACTCCCAAGCCGGAGATGCCGACTTCAGAAGATGCCCAGCCCGGAAGCCCCTCGGCCACTGGGACGGACCAGGTCTCCCTGGATGAGCCACTGTCCTCAGCCGCCCACTTGGACGATGCAGGTACTGGCTGGAGATGGCACGGGTTGAGTTTCTAGGATGGCCATTCGTCCCCACTGGTGCCCCTGGCTATAGCTTAGGCAACAGCCCTCAAAGAACATTGTTCTCAAGAGACCCCGGCCCATGCTCCAAGCGCTGCCATGCTGTGCTGCCTGGCTGGCTTGAAGTGTTTGCTGGAGCATTTTTCTCTGCTGTCTCTTTCCAAGTCTGGCACAGCCAACTAATGAAGGTGCTTAACGATTTTCACCTCCTTTTCCTGGCACACCCCCTCCCCTCCCAGGGTGTCTTCGAATTTCACTGGGACCTTCTAGGCAGGAAAGTGCTCTCTAGAAGGGCAAGTGCCCAGTCGGGGGATTTTGGTGGCCCTAAAACAAAGGGGTAGGACATAGGGTTGAGGGACTTTCCTGTGGCCTAAATCCCGCCGCAGAGGGCCTCTTTGCCCAAGAGATGCTCGGGTCCCCACGTGCGCCCATTGCCTGGGAGCTGACCAGTGCTGATGCGGACTCTGCATGCTGTGGTCTGTGCAGGGCTCTTCCCGCTGCTGCTTGAGCGGAGGTGGGCTTGGTGCATTGCTCCAAGCCTCAGTTTCCCTCTGTTAAATGGGAAAAGTAATGGGCCTACGTCAGGGCTGTTTGGAGGGCGGGAGGAACTTAGCATAGTGTCTGCTGTGTAGAGTGACTATTGTCAAAGGCAGTAGGGGCATTAGGGAGTGGTGGTGGTTTTTATTTTAATTGAATAGACCAGGGTACTCCCAAGGATAGGGGAGAAGGAGGGAAGGATAGAGGGGAAGAAAGCAGGAACCAGCTGCAGAAACCCGTGGGTGCTTCACCAGCTCCTCCTGCTCCTCTCCCACCTGGAAGAGCCGTTCTTCTGGAGCGTCACTGTTGACCTGGAATCCCGTTGTCTCATAAAATTTCAGGCTATAAACAAGCCTCGCACAGTTTGGGGTGGGCAGGTGAGCGCATTCCTCTGTGAGTGTGGGAGGTTGGAAATCCAGCCCCAGGATAGCCGGCTGGGCTTCTGCTTCAGAACAGGGGAACACCTAATCTTCCATGCCCATGCTTCCTTCTGCCACACAAGGGTGACACCCACCCCCTCGCAGGCCATCCTCTCCAGCGTCCACAGCATCCCTGTGGTGCTAGCAGGCACCTGCCCAGAGCCGTGCTCAGCCCTCCTTCTGGGTGGCTGGCTGTGTCTCTCCAGTTTCACATGCCTTGGAATTTGGGGTCTGAGAGTTGTGGCTCCTGGAGGTCTGACACAGAGGCCCCCTCTACACACACACACACACACACACACACACACACACACACACACACACAGGTCCACACACACAGAGGCCCCCTCTACACACACACACACACACACACACACACACACACACACACACAGACACACACACAGAGGTCCACACAGAGGCCCCTATCCACACACTCACACAAACACACACACACACACACAGGTCCACACACACAGAGGCCCCTATACACACATACACACACACACACACACACACACACACACACACGTCCACACACACAGAGGCCCCTCCACATACACACACAGGTCCATGCACAGAGGCCCCCTCCTCACACACAGGTCTCTCTGTGCCCCAGGTGTCTGATGTTGGGGCTGGCGTGGTTCTTAGGCTGAGCAGAGCCTGGCCTTCCTGCTGTGGTGTGGACCCTGCAGCCAGCCCTTGTGCGTGGCCCTCGAGCCTCCCCGAGGGAGGCAGGGCTGCTGTGCCCAGCCCGTGCTGGGCTCATGCTGCCTGTCAGTGGTTTCTGTAGCTCAGCTCTGGGCCTGGGCCTGCTCCCTCAGCATTCTCTTCTGACCTCAGACACACGCTCTCGCTCTATCTCCAGATGGTGGGTGTGGGGATGGGTTCCTGAGAGCAGTGTGTGTCTGTTGAGATTATGGATTTGTATCAAGGACCCTCTCCTGGGTGAGGCATGCTGGGGGGCCTGAGGAGGAGTGGGAATCGGGAATCAGCTGGCCAGAGAGTGAGGTGGGGAGCGTCCCAGAAAGGGGAATAACATGGGAAGACGGGACAGGAGCACACATGTTTTCTCTAAAGCGCCAGAGAGGAAAGAGCGTCAGCTCTGCAGGCTGGAGGTGTCTGCCGAAGCCACTCTACTCATAGATGACAGAAGGGTGGGGCTCTTGTCATTGGAACTTTATGGATTGAAACCAGCCCAGGGCCTGGTGAGGTGGGTCATGCCTATCATTCCAGCACTTTGGGAAACCAAGACAGGAGAATCGCTTGACCCTAGGAGTTCAAAGCCAGCCTGGACAGCATAGCATGACTTCATCTCTATGAAAAAGTTTTGCTTTTGGGCTTTTGGTTTGAATTAGCCGTGTCTGTGGGTACACACCTGTAGTCCTAGCTACTCATGAAGCTCAGGTGAAAGGCTAGCCCGAGCCCTGGAGGTCGAGGCTGCAGTGAGCAGTGATTGCACCACTGTACCCCAGCCTGGTGACAGAGCCAGACTGTGTTTCAAAAGAAATTAAAATAAAAACAACCCACCGATTGGAGAGAGGGAAGAGGCCCAGCAGGCTTTCCCGAGGGCAGCTGGAACCCACAGGGTTGGAGAAACAATTGGCTTTGCTTTGTAGGAAGCTCTCTGCTGCTGACCGGGCAGGGCCTGGGGCCAGGGAGCCTGACGGAGCAGCGTGTGGTTCCCAGGGGGACCGTCTCATTCCTGACTTCCCCGGTGTGAGTCCTGTGCCCCTGGGGCTCGTGAGATGACTTCATGTGAATGGCACATGGACAGACAATGAGAAAACATTATTAATGTTTAATTAATAATGAAGATGTTTAATTAAACAATAATGAAAACACTTTCAGTAATTAGGGCAAGTGGTATTGGCTTCTCATTTTGGGCAATAATAGAGATTTTCTTATAGAGATAAAAATGTGAATTCACTTAAAGTAAAATCTAGCAAACAAAAGCGTAGAAAGTACGGAGGAATGTCCAAAATGCCTAAAGCAGGAGCCACAAGCCTGGTTTGAGGAAGGCCGTTCCATTCCTTAGGGATGTAGCTGGCTTATTAGCAGTTAGTGACATTTGTCATCAAGCTGGGGATAACAAGAGCTGACACAGGTGGCTGCCAGTGTGCAGGGTCAGGAGCATGCACTCTCATTAGCTCATCTAGACCTGGAAGCGGCCCCCAGGGGTCTCACGCCCGTGATAAAAGCCTGGCACACAGGTTGAATAACTGGTACAAGTGACTGGAAACAGGGCAACGTCCTCGACATGAGGCCCACCCGGGTTTGAGGCACACGGCTGAACTTGCTGAGCTTCGGGGCCATGGGCAAGTGACTTAGCCTCTCTGATTCTGTTTAATCGACTGTAAAATGAGGATAATAATCACTCTGATCTCCCAGGATTGCTAAAATTAAATGAAGTGATCCCCAGGAAAGACATACCTCCATCTTAACACACACCGAGCGCTCGGGAAGCACTGCGGCTACTGCAGCTTCACCGTTACTCATCATCATCTTCATCTGTTGTCTTCATTGTCAAACCAACCCTTGGAAAGGGACGCACTAACGCACAGTATTTAGCTGCCTACAGATGCTCCCTGAGAGCCCCTGTCTCTAGCAGCACGTGTGTTTCGGGATGTGGGGCCACCTGCAGTTTGCTTTTAAGCTGGGACAACCCCGAGGCCTCATCCAGCCCTACAGGTGTGGGACCCTGCAGCAGGGACATTGCCCACCTCCACAACACCAGGGCAATGTTTAGAAGCTTGGCCATGAACAATACCCCCAAAACAGGTTGTAACGTTACACAGAGACCTTAATACGCTACTGAAAAAATTGCCAGCCAATGTTTAAAAATCAGGGGTGTTTGCAGAAATCCACATGTGCGGTTTCTTTTCAGTTGTTAAAGTTCAGGCCCCCCTGGGTTCCTGTTCCCACATAGCCAGGGTCACTGGTGCTAAGCAGGGGTGTCCCTGTACATAGGCCTGGCCCTTTGAGGGTTGGAGTTTGCAACCCCTTCCATGAAGGTTGAGAGCCTGGTCTTTGGCACCAACCCCTGTGTTACTGACTTCATCTTCTGCTCTTTGGGCCTTGGAATTTTGTGATGGAACAGTTACGGCAACATGAGTGGTTGAAGCCTGAGGCCGCTGTGAGGCAACGTGGTCCTCGGTCTCCAGTTTCTACTGCAGAGCTCAGGGGTCCAGCTGTTTGATGCTGTTTGTCTGATGCTGTCTGCTCTCTTCCCACGTTCTGCACCTCAGCACCCTGGGGAGCGGCCCACATCTGGGCCCAGTCACTCTGTGTTGTGGGTAATTCCATAACAGACAGATGTCATCTAATGGCAGACAAAGCCAGATCCTCGAGTGGCAAATGTGTCATGTGAGTGCTGGAGCCTGGGCCCTGCTTCTCTCCTTGACCTTGGACAAGTTCAGGGAAACTTCATATGGGCCCAGAACGTGGTGCCCCATGGGTGATGGTCTATACCTGTGGGAGCCCCTGGGGTCTCTGCAATGGTGCTCACTGCCATCCTGAAAGGTGAGCTGCTTTCTCTTAAAAAACAAACCTCCCTTGAACTTTGCTGTGGATGGGGAGAGAGGTCATCAACAAGCACAAGGGGCTGTCCTGGGTCACTCCTGGCACTCAGGTGGCAACATCCAGGCCTGGGGCTGCTGCTTCCCCGTGCCCCAACCATGACGAGTGTGGTTGGAAGGGGATACATCTGAATATTGCACATCTCTCGGGAGGAGGACACTGTCAATGATTTTTGACCATTATTTTCCTTGAACCTTTGTTTTGGCCATTTGGGTTGACTTTTTGTGTTTGGGGTGATTTTGCTTTGCTTGGTTTTGTTTGGATGGTGCTTGATATGGTTTGGCTTTGTCCCCACCCAAATCTCATCTTGAATTGTAGCTCCCATAATTCCCATGTGTTATGTGGGAGGGATCTGGTGGGAGATGATTCAATCATGAGGGTGGTTTCCCGGTACTGTTTTCATGGTAGTGAATAAGTCTCATGAGATCTG